GACGCCACGACAAAAGTGAGAGGTCAAGGGAGAAACTTTTGGGGGAGCGCCAGACAAAAGTGAACAAATGACTCGAGATTGAAGGAAAAACGATCAGAAAGGGAGATACAGGAAGGGTAACGAGGAGGAGGAGGAGGAGGATGGGGAGGAGGAGGAGGAGAGTACCTCAAAACTCGGACATAGAGTCTGCTCTGTCACCTAGGGGGATTAATCTTGAGACTGCCCTGTCACGTTCCCAAGTAAGGCCTTCCTCTTTCCTCTCTGCTCCTGACTATCTGCTCCTGCTCCTGCTCCTGCTCCTGCTCCTGACTAGCTGCTCCTGCTCCTGCTCCTGCTCCTGCTCCTGCTCCTGCTCCTGCTCCTGCTCCTGCTCCTGCTCATCATCGATAGTGTTCTGCTCCTGCTCTTCCTGCTCCTCCATGGCATGCTTCTCCTGCTCCTGCTCCCTCCTCTTCACCGCTGGAAGCCTTGAGACGAGATGAGGTTGCAGCGATCGATATCGAGGATGGTCCACATGACGCTTGCCCGCTCTCGCAGCTCGAGTTTGTCATGTCCTCCTCCTCCCTCCGGCATCGCCTGCCGAATCACCTGCACGGAATATCCTAGGATACCGATCAGCTCACCTCGTCCCCTCTTACCCTCCTCTGCTGTGCTGTGCTATGCTCTTCCGTTTCTGTCCTCTCCCTCTCCCTGTCTTGTCCTCTTCCCACCTCTCCCCTCCTCTCCTCTCCCTTTTTCTCATCTCAGCTGGGCTCTACCTGGAACTTTTGACCCGCTCGCTCTCGCAGCAGCTGAGATCATCGAGAGCGTCACGACTGAGCCTTCGACTCCTCCAAGCAGGCCAGCCACTCCCTCCAGGTCCATCCCCTACCGCAGACATCAGAGCTTCCTCCTCCCTCCTCCCTCCCTCCCTGTCTCCTCCCTCCTCCCTCCTCCCTCCTCCCTCCCTCCTCCCTTCTCCCTCCTTCTCCTCCTCCATTGTTATCCCTTGCTCCTCAAATTTGTCTTCTGCAAGCTCCTTCTGACGAATCCCCATTCGTTTCCCCTCCCTCTCCTCCTTTCAGCTCTTTTGCCTTCTCCTCCTCCCGTCTTCACCATGATCGGCTTTCCGTCCACAGCGACGAGCTCGTCTCCTCTTGCGATGCTCCCCTGCTTGCTTGCTGCGTGTCCTCTCACGAGGTCCTTCACGGTGAACGTCCCCTTGTCATCCTGTCAGTTCTCCTCCAAACTCTCCCCCTCCGTCTTCTTCCCTTCCCCCTCCCCTTGCTCTCTCCATCCTCCCTTGTCTTCATTCCCCAGGATCAGTCAACCTTGTTGTCCCAGTCCAGCAGCATCCCGACTCCTCCTCGTCGAGTTGGCTCGGCGGCGGGAGGAGCTCCAAGCGCTGCTGGGACACGGAGAGGGGAGGGAGCAGGGGGTTGAAGGAAACGAAAAGCAGGAGGAGGAGCTGGGCTGGGAGCTGGGAGTTGGCCGCAAAGTTCAGCCAGGTGAGCTTCGGGTACGCCGAACCTGGAAGGGAAAGGAGGGGGCGTTGAGGAGGAAGCGAGTGCGATGAAGGGAATCACCTGACGTAGGTGCTGGGCGATTCTGACCTCTTCAACCCCAGCACGCCCCCTGCCGTGGCTGTGTCAGCCAGAAACGCTTCTAGCTCTTGCAACCTTCCCCTCCTCGTCTCCTCTCTCCTGCTCTGCTTCCTCCTCTATCTCCTCCCCCCCTCTCGCTTTCTTCCCCTTGGCCTCTCCCTTCTTCTTTCCGGTCTTCCTCTTTCTTCTTCCCCTCCTCCTCCCCTCCCTTCTTGTTACCTGCATGCTCTCTTGCAAGACTATTCGAGGCCGCATTGACTATCCTACGTTCTCGCCTGAAGTAGCACAGGGAGTCAAGCATCCCAACCTTCCTCCTCCTCCCTCTCTTCTCACCTGATCTTGTCCAGCTGGAAGTTGAAGGACGCGCAGGCAGAATCAGGAGAGGATATCATTGCGCTCCTCTCTCCAGCGCGAACTAGCAAAGGAGAGTGAGTAAGAGAGGGCGAGACGCCGGGAAGACTTGCAAGGAGGTGAGGGCAAGAGGTGGAGAGGAGGTGAGAAGAGAGGGGAGGGGGATGAAGAGGGGAGGGATGGGAGAGAGGAAAGAGGAAGAGGAAGGAGGAGCGAGGAGGAGAGAGACAAGACGAGGGGCATGGAGAGGAGGAGGATGCGAAAGCATCAGTCTTGCTATTCTCTTACGCTGCAGAGGGGTCCAGCCCCCTCTCCTTCTGTCTCCTCCTCTTCCCTTGTACGTCAAGTCTCGCAGTGGAGTCATTGCGCTGCTAGCGTACACGTGCGCCATGGTCGGCCGGGCGCCATGGGGGGAGTTAGGAGCGGAGCTGACCCTGACCTTCTCCTCCTCCCTCTTCCTCTCCCGCGGTTCACCGGAAGCCTCTGGTCTCTTGAACCGATCAGGAGCATGTTCAGTAGTTTTCTGTTCGCCCGTGTGCCTCCTTCTCCTCCTCTGCGAAGAGAGCTCAATTTCCTTCACGAGCTGAGCATGGAACTGGTCCTCCTCCGCCTCCTCCGCCTCCTCTTCCTCTTCCTCCTCCTTGATAGACCCTGAAAGCTCGACAGAGAGAGGACGGGAGGAGGAGTCCGAGGCTCTCCTGACGAACAGGTTGTTGTCGTAATTGGCGAGAGAAATCCCGAGGAGAGACAAAAGAGTCTCGTCCTTCTCCACCGCCCTGCCAAGGTTCATGCTCACACCCTCCCATCATCTCCTCCTCGCACAGCAACTGACCTGATGAAATGTTCATAATCGATCAGACCATCTCTATCCGCGTCCATCTCCTCGAACACGAATTGCACCTTTCCATCAGCAGAATCACTTACATTCTCTTCTCCTCCTCCTCCTCCCTCCTCTTCGCCTCTTCACCCTTCCCTCCCTCTCCTCCTCGCCTCAACAACTACCTTCCCCGCCTCCGCTACATGACCATGAAAGCATCTCTGCATCAGGTCCTCGACCCCACTGGTATGAACGTGGCGAAGATCAGCGCTTGCAGTATCACAAGAGTCTGAGCCCACCTGATGAATTCGTCCTGACTGAGCTGTCCGTTGCCTTTGCCATCCAGGTTGGACCAGATTTGACGGAGTTTCCACTTCTGATCTGCCTGCATCTGCGCATGGCATGTAACAACCACAGGCCTTGACACCGTAGTCACCTCCTCTTGCTCCCTCACATTCATTTGCTCATTATTCCATCCCGTATATTTTTCAATCACACCCGCACTGCCCCTTCGTTCCCCTCCTCTCCCTAACCGTTCCCTCTTACGACGTTCTGCTCCGAACAGTATGTTCACAGTCTTTCTTTCTAGTTGCTGTCCCTGCCTTTACCCCCTTTCCTCTCCAACCTTCCAGCACTCTCTCTCCCCCTCCCAGTGGCTATCAGGCTGTCTATACTCCCCCATTGAGTCATCTCAACGGCTCAGTTTCTGTCCATCTACCCCTGTCTGCCCTTTTATCCCTCTCCCCCTTCCTCTCCCTCTCCCTCCGTCTCTCCCTCTTCCTCTTCCTCTTCCTCTTCCTCTTCCTCTTCCTCTCCCTCTCCCTCTCCCTCTGTCTCTCTCTCTCTCTCTCCCTCTGCCTCTGCCTCTGCCTCTGCCTCTCCCGTACATCTACCCCTGTCTGCCCTTTTATTTTTCTCCCTCTCCCTCTCCCTCCTCCCTCTCCCTCTCCCTCTCGTCTCTCCCACGGTTCTCCCTCTCCCCTCACCCTCCCCCTCTCCCAGGGTCTCTCTCTTCCTCTTCCTCTCCCAGGGTCTCTCTCTTCATCTTCCTCTCCCAGGGTCTCTCTCTTCCTCTTCCTCTCCCTCTGTCTCTCCCTCTCCCCCCTCCCTCCTAACTAACTTTGGCATTATCAGTGCATCAAACTTGACTCCCACTCTCTATGACCCCGTCAACCCACCTTCTATCGCCACCCCCTCTTTACCCCGGGAAGTTTTTTTTTTGGCTGAGTCAAGTGGCCCGGGGCCGGGCGGGCCCGCCACTCTAACCCCCACTCAAGTTCTAACTTCGTTACTCAACTGACTCAGCCAGTGAAGGTATCAGTTAAGTTTGGGGGACAGCAGTTGGCAGGAATAGGTTTGGTTCTCGCTGTCTTTTCTCTTCTCGCCGTTTGGCCAGTGACGTTCGGACGGAGGCTTTGACTCGTTACATTGAACAGTGGACTCAGTCCGACTCGAGTTCGGAACTCCAACGAGTCGGATGCGCCGGCGGCGCCGCAACTTCGGAACGCCAGCAGGCCGCCGGGCGACCCGACCCGGCGGACCGGCGCCGGGGCGGCCGCCGCCGCCCGGCATGGCCAGTGATGAAATTAAAACAACGCGGGGCAGCGCCGTGCCACGTTCGAGTCTTTTTCGCTTGTTTGCAGGCTGACGTTTACAGGTACCCCACAAATTGGCTAAATATTTGAAAAAGTTTATCTATATCTGAAAATTTAGATGAATAATTTCAAATGGAATACAGAATTTGATGTGCTTTGGAGGTCGTGCTAGGGAAGGGGATCACGGGGGTAGTCATTTGCCATAGGTGGGTACATCAACAATTATTAGGATGACAGGGGTAGATACACAGTCAAATTGTGGGGTCCATTTATGAAGTAAGTGGGGTGGGGTGATATAGTACGACAGGGTAGGGTAGTTTGATACAAGGTGAACATGCGGGGACTGCTCTTGATCGCGATGTTGGCAATTTCGATGTCCAGGTAAGAGAAGAGGAGGAATAGTGAGGAGGAGAGCAGAAGAAAAGAAAGGAGGAGAGAGAAACAACAAAAAGAGAAGAGAAAAAGGACAGCAAAGAGGAGATAGTGATAGATAGGACGTTTGAGAGTTTGAGGTGAGAAGAAAAAGGGTGAGTTGACCTTCCTGGTTTCTTTATTGATTCATTAATGCTGCAACTCTGGTGTATTTCCACCACATGTCCTGTTGATTGATAGATTTGTTTGATTGATAGTTCTGTTTGCAGCGCGCCGGCTCATTATTCCCAACAACCAACAGTATGCTGTCTTGTTTAGAATCAACGAGTGCATGATGATCGTTCCAATAGTTGGGCGGCGTGTTGAGACTGAGGGGAGGGAAGATTCATCCAAGCTTGTATCCATGGCTTTTGACGTCAAAGGTTTCTCATCTTGCGTCAGTCACGTTGTGCTGACAAAGATCAAGACACCTGACTATTATGGCGATCTTGGTGTTGGATCGAATGCAAGCATGGAAGAGGTGATTTTGGACATTCTGCTGGTCATCTTGTTCTTATCACAGGTATACAGATCAGGGAAGCGTACAAGGCGCTCGTGCTCGCGTATCATCCAGACCGGTGGTCTTCCATGGTTTGGTTGCAGTCAAGAGTGACGGCCATACAGATCAGCAAGAGTGAGCAGCTCACAAGAGAGTGAGGGAGAATGCAACGAGAACGTGTCCAACGAGGAGTCAAAGTTTAAGGCTGAGAGGTTCATCGAAGTTCGGGAGGCCTGGGAGGTCAGTTGTTGATCGTCATGCAACATGCCGTGGCGTTGCTCACACTGATGACAAGGTCCTCGGGGATGAAGACGCCAGACGAGCGTACGACTTGTTCATGAGTGATAACTGGTGAGTTTGTTGTGTCCATCGTTCGAGTATACAACATCGTCCCATCGATGTCACAGTGGCTGATGAAGGCTGTAGGGAAATGAAGACCCCCATTACACCCTGCAAGGAGTCTCAGAGTCCCGTTATGCCTGTGGCAATCGAGACTCCCTCTACTTCACAGTTTTCCTTTGGGAAGAAGAATCGAGTCGGATTCTTCTGATCTACTTTCCCGCTGTTCCCGTTTTCTGCTGTCTGTAACATGATTGTGTATATGTGAATAATCCTATAAAGTTGACAATGCAAAGAAATCACACAGAAAATTGCCGAATTCCTAAACCTGGCCGATGCCGAGTTCAGACATTCTGAACGCTTAGTTAGTGTAACATCACATCCAACAAGTAAAGTACTCACATGTACTCGAAAAGCTCGTCATCAAGATTTCGTCTGCGCCGCATTAGTTTGATACACCTGCTGAAGGGTTAGATAAGGCTTCTTTGCATTGACATCTCTGTTACGTTCGGAAGCAATGCATTGACCTTGAGGCCCGACTGCTGTCATTATCCACTGCACTCGTCCCGCTCTGCATGATTGCATTTGAGAAAAATCGCAAATCGAGGTGAGAAACAATCACATACTGTGTCGCCATCAAAAAAGAACTTGCGATTCACTTCGTTCAAGACTTGTTTATCAGATAGCTTTTGATTTGCCTGCTGCATTTTGCTTGAGCTCAGATACTTGTAATACTGTTGCTCTGCCAAGTCCTCAACAGTCAGAACCCTGTTGGTGGGTGTGAGGTACAGCTGATCGCTATCATGATCGAGATCGTGAAATATTGCTGCTGCATGCTGGGATCCTGCCATATATGAAGTTTCGGCTGGAGGCATCTTGCTCTGTAGAGTGGTCGCCTGGGATGTTCTGCTGTCTGTCCGACAATCCATGTCTGAGTTGCAGCCATGCTCAATCTCACTGGGCTTGCAGGGAGGAGATTTCTTCTTTTGCTCCCTCGTCCCTCCTCCACGTGAGGGATCTTTTTTCTTCCTCTTCTCATGCCAGTCAGGGATGGGCATGTGTCTCCCTTGATCGTCTATTGTCCAGCCTATGCTCATCTCTCTCTCTTGTTCATCAGCTCCGTTCCTGATCTTCTCCGCTTGATCCAACTTGTGAATAAAACTCTCAGCTGACCTCATCCGAAGTTGAGAGCATTTGTTCAGCCTCGGCGAGGATCGTTGGTTCCGGACTTGTTCGGATGTCAACCTATCATTGCGAAGATTCTCTTTGTCAAGGTTGAAGTGAGATTTTGTGGAGGCAGTGATGGGAGAGAGGGCACACCCTGCAAACAACTTCTCGTCTCTCAGCAGTTGTCGAGCTAGTTCTTTACGCTTCCTTCGTTTCTCCTCTTCTATTTTCTTCTCTAGTCTTGCGTCATGTGAGGTAGCTACACTCTCATTATCCTTGCTCTGCGAGGCTTCGATGGATGTGCCTTCAAGTTCGCCTTTCAGTCTCTCTGCATCCATGGCGACTGCTACTATCAAGTGACCCCCGATGACCCCTGCCCTTTCCTCCCACTGCTAGCAGAAAATGGCGCGCTCCGAGCAGGCCGCAGGTTTCCGAGAGTCCGCCTCAGCGTCTCCTGGCACCGTGAGACTCCGGGCGGCCCTACGCGGGCCGGCGTCCGAGGCTGGCACTGTCAGATCACAGACTGATCGCCGGGAGGGCCCGTCCGTTCGGACGGTTCCGATCAGTGCGGCCCGGCGGACACCGTGCGGCAGTGAGCGCGACGTGGGCCGCGGGCCCGGGGCCCGGCGGGGACGGTTTGACTCGTTGAATCCAGTTTGTACGGGCCGGGCCGAGTCCCGGCCCGGTTATTGGCAGGCCAATTTAAGCGGGGGCCTCAGGCTGCACTGCGCAACTCAGTTAGCGTTGAACGGCCCGGGTTCAAGTCGACGGTCCGACTCAGGTGAGTCCGGGTGCCGCGGCTCGCCGCCGGCCGCCCGGCCGGCGGGCCGGGGCCGCGGGCTCACACCGTGCTGCCGCAGGCTGACTCGGTCATTATGGACTCGACACGCTCGTAGTACAGTGATCTTTAACTTAACTTCAAGTGAGTAAAAGGCGAGATGGACCTACCGTACCGGGCGGACTCGTTGCATTACCGGGAGTCACTGTCAGTTGGCATGGCCCGGTACTATCACGACGGTCTGACCTACTTGTGAGTCGGACTCCGCCCCGTCTCAGTCCGGTCCGACCGGGTCACCGGACGGTCACGGGGGTATCCCATGTGACTCGTATCTCTGAGTCGCTGTGATTGCTGCTGACCGTCGGTCAAGATAAGATCTTTCGCCTTGTTTTTGTTTTTGTTTGTTTTTAGGACTTCTTTGCTATATTTATCATCTTTTCTTCCTCAAAGAATATTGGCATGGGACAAATGTTTCCATTTTTAGGCCTTCTGGTACCCAAAAAAATTATAGCTTCCTGATCTTGAGTTTGCTAAACTACAGCAATACGGCGATAGGGGTCGTGACTGGAAAAGTGTGGGTGGGGTAGCACGTCAAAGAACGTGGCCAGGTGCCGTTGGTGGTTGAACAAGAGGGGGACAGGGGTGGGTCATATATCCAGCAGGGTACTATTTTGAGAAGGTGGTGGGGTACCTTGAAAGGTCCTCTTGGAAGACGCTCGAGGGGCGTGTGATTGTGGCGCTTTTCGCTCACATATAGATAAGGTAGCTGTGGGTCGATGGGAGCGAGGGCGGGCGGCCGCAGTATCTGGTGAAGAAAACGAGGGGGTACTTACAGAACATATCCAGATAGGGGTGGGTCGTACATTGAAAAGGGAATTGGGTTGGGTGGTCTCACTCAGTGCGGAGGCGTAGGGCCCAGTGAGTTGTGTAGTGGGTGGGTGGCGTCGGACCTTTTGCAGCAGACACAGGTGGGTTGTATTTGGTAGGGTGGGTGTGGATACAGACGGGGAGACCTCAGTACAGTACGGCATCCGAGCCAGCGGAAATCGTCGAGGGATGTGGGCGACAGGGGGTAGTCAAACCACCGCTACTGGGACCCCTGATTCTACTAGTTGGTGGGGTACAATCACCCCACCCTATGGAAGACTCCAGAAATCGTTGTTCTCCTGGGGTGATGATGGTCATTTTCCATTTCTGAAAGGCATGCATGGCTAGGGTATAGAATAGTCAAATAAGGGGTGGGGGTACTCATAAGTACCCATTAAACCGGGGACGTGAGAAGTGTATGCCTCCACTAAAAAAGCAGTTTCACTGGAGGGTCATCCTTTGTTCATTTTTGATATACTACCCCTTATTATGACTTGTCAAAATGGGGTAGTACACGACTTTTGTATTGGATTATTGCCCAATCAGCAAATGTATCATTGTGAGTCCGTGGAAAGGTACCAGGGGCGGGGGAGCTTTGGGGACAAGGACGGGAGATAAGAAAGATTGGGTAAAAAAGGGGGGTAATCGAACCCCATGGAGAATTGCACCCCTGTCTACTTATGGCCTTCTAATCACTAATTCATGTAGGGTACTTTTTGAACAGCCACAAGATGAGGGTCCGGGGAACACATGAAAGGGGGTGGGGTAGTATAGTTGGGGGTGCGAGGACGGCTTGAGGGGATGTACACATCAATAGTAGGGGTGGAATGAATTGGGATAGTATGATTTGAGGAATCACTGCAGGAATTGGGGGGGTAGTAGGGGGAATACGAGAGGGAAGTGCTCGTGCAGGGAGAAGCTAGGGGGTGGGGTGGCTGAGCATAAGCTTTTAGTGGGGTAGGGTAGTGACCCCCTTTCAAGGTAACGTGACACATGTCAGGTCCCCCTCAAAGCATGACCCCACACTCAGTACCCCATAATTTCATATGTTTTTCCATGGTGACAGGGGTAGTGGACAGTCGCACAATGCAAAACTTCGTGATGGGCCAGACAAGTATACAAATTCTTGTATAAATTTCATATATGAAAGAAAAATATTGAACTTACATAAGAAAATATCACTATAATTTTCATGAACAAAGGGCTATTTGACAGGACAAACTTCCGCAACACCCCCATTCGGAAATGTATGACCGATTTCTCCCTGTTGGTAGCTTCCTGCTCAAGAGGCGGATCGGTCATTCGGTGGGTCGGGCTGAACTTGTCGGGGGGTAGTCTTGATGGGTGAGGTGACAGGGGTGGGGTTGCTCTGGTTTGCTGATAGGTAGATAGGGGTATGCTGATGTATGGGGTGGTAGGCCAAGGAAGTGCAATAGATAGGCTCGCCCCGACTGGGTAGGGTGATACAGTCACGGGTGCATTCAACATGAAAAATAGGGGTGTAGTCGGGAGGAGCAACCAGGGGGTCCACTGATGGAGTAGGTGGGGGTGAAAAAGCGGAGGGAAAGAGGGGGTAGGGTGAAATCAGGGGCACGCGCAAGCATGGGGGTGGTACAGGAGATAGGGGTGCAAAACTGGTAAGAAGGGGGTGAGGGGGTGGAGAGGGAAAGGGAATAGATTATCGTCCTGCTCGCAGCCGCCGAAGCAGAGCCATCGTCCCATCCCTCTTCCGTTCCCTTCTCAGCCTTCCGCTCCACCTCCTCCTATTCTCTGCTTCTCCTTTCCTTCACTGTCACCCCTTTCCCCTCGTCCCTAGCTTTCTTCTCCTTCTGATTGACCTTCGTGTCGCCCACCTCCTCCCGGAGTTCGGTTCGAAAGTTGTCCAGCCTTGCTTCAGTTCTGAGCAAGCGGTTTGGGACCCTCTGGTTGACCTTCGTGCGCTTTGCTGCTCGAAGGCCTATTTTCATTTCACCGTTGTCTTCTTCCTTTTTCCTCGGGTCTCCTAGACCTAACAGCGGCCTGATCCTGTTTTGCCGCCCAATCGAGCCCAGGTGAAGTTGGACTAAACCAACAAACTTTCGTGAAAAGTTTCAAAATGCCATTCATCAACAGTGGTAGTGATTTCAAGGAAGAGGAACCAGGCATCCTTCAACTTGCCAGGAAATCTCTGGAGTTTTCTCGTCGCTCCATCGAACCAGGAAGGAGGTCCCGAGGTTCTCGCCCTTCTACCGACCGGCCCAAGGACGTGGAGCTCGGAGGTATTGAACATGAGCATGATGAGGAAAGGGCCCAGCATGCCAAGAGAGTGTCCATGGACATTCAGCGCATTTCTATGGAGGTGCAGCGGAAACGATCCAAGGATGCAGCTCGCGAAGCTGCCAAGGAGGAAACTAAGGAAGAGGAGGAGGAAGGAGAGAAAGTTGACTTCACCCCCGCTCCCAAGGATGGCTTGACTACCCATGAAGCTGAAGAACTGCTCAAGAAGTGGGGCAAGAACGAACTCACTGAGAAGACAACTCCCAAGTGGTTGATTCTGCTCAGGCTGTTGTCTGGTCCCATGCCTATCATGCTCTGGATCGCCGCATTGGTCGAGCTCATCATTGGGAACTATCCTGATATGGCGATCCTCCTCTTCATCCAGTTTACCAACGCTGGCATCTCCTTCTACGAGACCACCAAGGCTGGTGACGCTGTCAAGGTCCTCAAGGACTCGTTGAAGCCTGTTGCAACTGCTAAACGAGATGGTAAGTGGCAAGACATCGATGCAACCCTCCTCGTCCCCGGCGACCTCGTTCTTCTCGCTGCTGGCTCTGCCGTTCCCGCCGATTGCTATGTGAACGAAGGAGTTATCGAGGTTGATCAGTCTGCGATGACTGGAGAGTCTCTCCCTGTGAAGTTCCGTCGTGGAGAGGTTTGCAAGCTCGGCTCCAACGTTGTGAGAGGAGAAGTTGAGGGCACCGTGGAGTCGACGGGTCAGAACACTTTCTTCGGCAAGACTGCTCAGATGCTTCAGTCTGTTGGCAACGAGTCTGGAAGCCTTCAGATCCTGCTCATGAGGATCATGTTGATTCTTGTGGTGCTCTCCCTGACGCTCTGTATCATTGCCTTCATCTACCTTGTTGTGGAAGGAAAGAAGAAGAATGCTGCCAAGATTCCGCAACACCAAATCTCTCAGGGCGAGATTGTTCGTCAATCGCTGAGCTTTGCCGTGGTGGTTCTGGTTGCTTCCATCCCCCTGGCGATTGAGATCGTGACCACCACCACTCTCGCTCTTGGCTCGAGGCAGTTGTCGGCTCGCGGTGCCATCGTGACTCGTCTTGGATCGATCGAGGAGATGGCGGGCATGGACATGCTCTGCTCGGACAAGACCGGAACGCTGACGCTGAACAAGGTGAGCTTTGTGCGAGGTTGCGAGTGCGAGTGGCTGACGGTGCTATGGTAGATGGTGATCCAAGAGGACTGTCCGACGTACAGCCCCGGGGAGACGTACGAGACGGTGCTATTCCAGGCGGCGCTTGCGGCGAAGTGGAAGGAGCCTCCTCGCGATGCGCTGGACACGATGGTACTGAAGACGTCAGGGCAGGATCTGTCCAAGTGCGACGCCTACACCCAGCTGGAGTTCACTCCCTTCGATCCGCGAACGAAGAGGACTGAGGGGAAGCTTCAAGGCCCTGACGGAAAGATCTTTCGGGTGACTAAGGGAGCCCCGCACGTGATCCTCAACATGTGCCACAACAAGGATGAGATCAAGCCTCTTGTAGACGCCAAGGTGCACGAGCTCGGAACCCGAGGCATCCGATCCCTGGCGTTGGCGAGGATGGACGACGAGGATGGGAAGTGGAGGATGCTTGGGATCTTGACCTTCCTGGATCCCCCTCGCCCCGACACTAAGCACACCATCGAGATGTGCAACAAGTACGGAGTGTACGTGAAGATGATCACTGGAGATCACCTGGTGAGAGCGAGGAGGAGGAAGGATCAGGGGGGGATGGTGACATGTGTGTACAGGTGATCGCGAAGGAGACTGCACGCGTGCTCGGAATGGGCTCGTCAATCTTTGGAGCTGATGGTCTTCCAGTGCTCGGAGAGGGAGGGTCAGTACCCGACGATCTTGTTGAGCAGTACGGCACCAAGATCTGTCCCGCGGACGGCTTTGCCTCAGTGTTTCCGGAGCACAAGTACCTCATCGTGGAGACTCTGAGGAAGGCTGGCTTCAGGGTCGGGATGACGGGAGACGGAGTGAACGACGCGCCAGCCTTGAAGCGCGCGGACGTTGGGATTGCTGTGCAGGGCGCTACAGATGCGGCAAGAGCAGCGGCAGACATTGTGCTGACGGGAGAGGGACTGAGCGTGGTCGTGGACGGCATTATCGTCAGCCGAGAGATCTTTGGAAGGTTGAAGAATTTCCTTCTTTACCGTATCGCGGCCACCCTTCAGCTCCTCATCTTCTTCTTCATCGCTGTCTTCTCCTTCCCTCCCTACAAGTACTACAAGGCCAGCGGCTTCCCCGGTACTGGAAACTACTCCAACGTTTACATGGGCGTTCCTCGACAGACTGGATATTGCCCGAGGGGATATGCTGGGCCCGCAGACAGCTTCTTGCAGTCTAAAGGCATCACCTTGAACGCAACCTACTTCGACCACCCAGAGATGTTCGACACTGGTTGCTCCATCGTCCTCCCTATCTGCAGCGGGTCAGGCAGCACCCAGACGTGCGTCGAGTGGCCGGAGTTCTTCAAGCTTCCTGTTCTCCTTCTCATGCTCATCACCCTGCTCAACGATGGTTCCCTCATCTCCATCGGCTACGACAAGGTCAGCCCCTCCACCACCCCCGAGCAGTGGAACCTTACCAGACTCTTCGTCGTCTCGGGCCTCCTTGCTCTCATTGCGACGGCCTCGTCGCTCCTCCTCCTCTGGGCGGCGCTTGACTCCAACAACCCCACCGGAGCCTTCGCTGGTCTCGGCATCCCTCCCATGGAGTACGGCAAGATCATCACCATGCTCTACCTCAACGTGGCGCTCGCGGACTTCTTGACGCTCTTCTCCTGCCGCGCCCTCGACTCTCCCTTCTGGACCGTGGAGCCCGGCAAGCCCATGCTCTTCGCCATCTTTTGCTCCCTCGTCATCTCCACCTTCCTCGCCTCCTTCTGGCCCGAGAGCGAGTTGGACGGGCTGCCAGTGAAGGGGCTGGCGCTGGGAACGTACAAGACGATGCCGCTGTGGGTGTGGATCTACTCCATTATCTGGTGGTTCATTCAGGACTGCATCAAGATCGTGGTGGTGAGGACGATGAACAAGTACAACTGGTTCCCCGATGTGAAGCCGGACATGGAGGAGTGGAAGAGAAAGGGAGGCATCGAGGACGAGAACAATAACTACAAGGTGTGAGTGGGTTGAGAAAAGAGATGAGATGCAAAGCAGCTCTCAGGGTGTTAGACGTTTATTAATTAAAGAATAGTCTTTTCAACTCGTGTCATTCCGAACAAATTTGATACTTGAGCATCACCTGCATTGTTGTCACTCACGTTTCTGCCTCTTCCTGCTCTGTTGTTTCCCCTTTCTCCTCCTCTCCTCTCCTCTCCTCTCCTCTCCTCTCCTCTCCTCTCCTCTCCTCTCCTCTCCTCTCCTCTCCTCTTATTCGCCTCGGTGGTCTGACCTTGACCGTCCTCAAGAACTTGGCTGTATATGTCGACAACGTTCGCGGCAAGAGGAGCTCGTGCGATCTCCTGCTCCAGGTCAGCAGCTAGAGAACAGCTGGGGAAACCGACCTGCCACAGGAAGAGGAAGCGAGCGA